GGCTACGCCTCGAGCAACTCTTACGCATCTTCCGTGCTCTCCAAACTTCCCGTGTGCTTCATATCTCAATGAACGCACGCTGACGTATGAACCAATTTTTAAATATTAAATCCTTTGCAATGGACAATGGGGTGAGTGCTATTTCTCTGTTAATTTATTGAATTAGGTTTGTCTACAAACAACAAGTTAAGCTACCACAGTTCCTTGATATTGTTGATGGATCTAATTATATTTCTTTTCTATAGAGAGTTTTGTGACTTTCAAGAAGAATTAAAAAAATTGTTCTTACTAATAGACAGTTATTTCTCTCTACAAAGGGACCGAATTGCCCAAATGTTCCCCTAATATAGAGTGATGGTTGTACAAAAAATTAGGGTGCAGTCACTAAATGCACAAAATAACTTTAAAAAAATGGTATTTATAGCTAGGTCTATTCTTTTCTATTTGGTTACCATTGCTTTTATGTAATTAGTTCATAGTATTTCATACATTTAGTGATTTCAGTCTAGAAATTGAGCCTATTTTGAGCATCATCAAAGCACAATCTCTTGATAAGTATTAGTATCTTCACTCAGTCATGTTAGACTGGCGTAGCTTTCACCCAGGGTTAACTCTGGAAAAAATTCCATTAAGTCGCCTAGTAATTATCCCTGGGTTAGTGCCAGCCCAATCTCAAACAAACAGGCCCTCGGGCTCCTATATATATAACTTGTAAATTGTAAAAGGAATTCCGAAAAAAAAATGGCCAGACTCTGCAATGTGGTACTTAAATTTATAATCATTAATTTTCTCTTTGAAAAAATACAATGGTGTGAGAAATAGCCTTTGCCCTATCAGCATACAACTATCTACCATGGTTAATTGCAGTAGTAAGGCTTTGATACATACTTTATTAAAGCCAACAGTACTTAACTCTCGTTTTTCCCGCCGAGAACGAAATCCTCGACCCAATCCTCCTTGGTTTGCGAACCTCGTCGTCGTGCATTTCGTTGTCGATGCTTAAGGTCTGTAATATCCTGGTCGGGACAATGGAAAGTTGTTCTTTTTTAAATTCGAAAGAGGACTTTTGTGAGTGTAGTGGAAGCAATATAAACTCAATAAATGTCAATGGGATATTTCTAGGCTTCAAAGGCGTGACGAAATCAGCGACGAAATGGATCTAATTATTTGCTGTGGTAAATAAATGTAACATTTCACGTGCGAATTTTTTATTCTCTTGTTACGAATAATTAATCATAATTGAATTTGTAATTGCATTTTCACAATCCATATAGCTATCTTTTTGTTTTTCGGTGCGGCTATTGTGATCCTGCATTCAATTTTCACCCAAGCTTCAGTTCAGCCTCATTGACTTTGTTTTTGGTTTTAGACTTATGTTATGATGCATATTCTCAGCATAGGTTTAAAAAAAACTATGGTTTTCTTCTTGCAAGGTACATACTTGCTGCGCTGTTTCTAAGTCTGTTTGAATCAAGGTACTGGATATGCCTTAACGCAAACATTTTTACAAGGATTTTTTTTATGTTAATCACGAAGAAATAAGCTCGCTTGATATTTGTCAACATCACCGAGATCGTCTGGGGATTTACTGGATGGGCCAGTGCAAAGACTGAGGAGTATCGCCTGAAGTGGTGCAACACAAGAGCGTAGCATTAAAGGGGGACCACAGCTTGGTAAAATACCAATCCCAGTGTATCAAGAAGATAACAGGAAAACTCATCCCCGTAGCTCACAAACATTTCAACCCTGTTCCCAGTTTCCCAGGGTATGAGATTGCTCAACTTTTAATTTTCTTTGATGCTCCGGTCTTTTGGTTTTCGTCTTTTTTTTTCGGGGTGGGAGTGCTTTCTTCGCTATCGCCATTATAAAACAACCCCATAAAAAGAGACAGGGGGATATCATCATACATCCGGTGTTACATCTCATTACATTGTGCTACATGCGGTCAGCAGTCGTGTTTCTCGGACTTCCGACCTACGTATTCAATCGACTGTTCCAATATCTGACTCAATTTTAGCCAAAGACGTTACTTTGGGTTGTTCAAAGGCATGTATTTGCTTTGTACATTGATCTCGACACATCTGCTTTACTTCCTGGTCGACAATATTGAAGAATTTAGGTGCTCGACGGCAGAAATCACAAGTATTTCGACTATGTTTTGACTGTGTCAACTTTTTCAAGCGTATATATATATGGGCTACTTGTATCATCATCCCTGGTCTAAAAAATGGCAAACTGGATATTCGATGGGAGTAACCATTAGATTAGAGTCTGCGCTAGATTTGGTCAGGAAAATGGAGCGAACGAAGGAGAGACACTGGAGAGAACCACGCGACGAAAGTATCCTAAAGAAATTCCCAAAACCTTCGAGGTAGGTTTTTGTATCAATTTGTATTTCATCAAATTCATTGGACCAAACCTTATCAACTAAATGTAGGCAACATAGAAGATGATAAAAGATACTTTAAAAGTTGATTTTGTCTCTCTAAAGCCTGTCTGAGCCAGCTACTAGAGCCCTCAAAATTACCAATTTTGCAATTTTTTTTGCAATTTGCCCCAGGTGTCTTCAGCACCCATGTCTAGAATAAAATTTTCTTCAAAGTGTAATCTTTGCTGCTAATTTGGTTTATGTGGAAAGAGCGCTTTCGGAGTAATTACGAATGTGGTTGTGCTTGCTTTTCCTGCGTGTCTAAATGGTTGACAGGGAACACGGTAAGACGAGCATTTTCTTCTTGTTGATAGAACCCAAAATATTTTCACGGCAAATTTTATAAACTGGGAGAGCGGCTCTACCATCTGTATGAATTTCATTTGAATTGGCTCATATGCATCCGAAGACAAGACTCGTTTACTTTTACTTTTTGAGAAAGGAACTTTTGCTCAAAACATGGTCCTGAGGCCGACGTCATCTAGTGCAGTTACCATGGCATTAATACATCTACTGATCCAAACATGGTTGTTTTTGTTTGTCTACCCAGGTAACCTTCCTCCACACAAAAATTGAAGGGGGGGGGGGGGGTTAAAAATGTTCTTTTCCAACTTTGCTTCACTTTCTTAGAGAATTGCTCTTACTAAGAGCAAATGTGGCCAAAAATCGAACATTTCCAAAATATGGTGGTAACAGCCAAACAATCGATTCGGCTCATATACTCAAGTCAGGTAGGCCCTTTGGTGAAACAAAGCACTGTATACTTCGTTTGGCTGAATATCGATTTATTTTCGAGAAAATCGATAATAACTGAATTTCGCCAAAATGCCGCTTTTGAAGCTGAAAATTTCAGACGAATCTCGGAGCGTCGCGCCACGAATTGAGAACTCTTGGACCATTAAAAAGTACCAAATCTTGATAAACAACATCAATGCATATGTTGACAGCAATTTGAGCAGTTCTTGATCATTTATTTACACAATCTAATTGAATTTATCCGACCTTCTTCCGTGTAACAAGATTAAAAATAGGTTAAAATTAACCCGTTATCTAACTATGTGGTAAATAGAAAGATCGCGACTAAAAATCTGGCTTTTGGGTGGCGAAGTGTAGTTCTTTTCGATCTCCAAAGGATTTTTTGGGGAAATGATTCAGTACGGTTTAATCAAATTTTAAAGTTGGATAAAATAAGCTGATCTGACGGTGCCGTCAGTTATTCCAAAATGTACACATTCACAAGCAAACTCAGTTGTTTCGCAATTCACATTCAATCTACAGCTTCTTAAACATAATATCATCTTACTGTCCATATTGCTGTATCACAAAGGGGGGTTGCAGTCCTGAAATTGTTGCATCGCTCGCATTATAGGAGTGTCTGAATGGGAGGGTCTGAATGTCAATTGTCAGTTAATTTTTCGGCCATTTATCGGTTGTCAGTTAAATTTTCGGCCATTTATCGGTTGTCAGTTAAATTTTCAGCCATTTGTTAATTTTCAGTTAAATGAATGTTAATGACTAACTTAGCAAGTTAATTATTACTTTCCGACCCTATAATTTTGGCTGAAAAGCACATATAGCGTAAACTCGAAAATTAAGTCGAAAACTGATACAATAAGAACTGCTTTTTCTTAGTTCTGGAATGAAAGAAGATCTTTCAAATGACTTTCAGTCATTGTTTAAGTCAGTTACGACTCTTCTGAACACAAACATATACAGCGCATATATAGCGCACATAA